TTTTGCAAACAAAACACCCCTGCTGTTGCTAGTGGTGCTGATAAGAGCAGACGCGGCTAGCACCTGGGGGGACTCGTTGAAGCTAGACAAAGGTGAAGACCAACGCTTCCACTTATTGAAGCTAGTAAGTAATTCTTCTAAAGGGATAATAAATAAATTAATAATAATAGTAAAAAATCGCCTGGATGGTGGTGCCGCTTTTTGCCCTGAAAATGAGGTGAAGACTGGTCTTCTTGTCGCACAGCTCTCCCATCGATGACGGACATCCACTCAACAGAACCAATTCTCCGTTTTTGATATGGCACCCATGTCGACGCTTCTCTCCTGCTGCTCATGCCACGAGGAGAAAGAAACTCCCACTGGCAGTCATGACTGTTTTATCTGCTTGGACAAACGGTCGAATCCTTCCAACGCCACACTACCTACGGAGTCCCTGGTTAGGTGAAGTCATAACAAGGTAGCCGTGGCCCGTAGGGCCGTAGGGGAACCTGCGGCTGGGATTGACTCCTTTGCAATATACATACCCAGATTTGATTTAATGTCAATCTAATCAGACTAGTTACCCAGCATCACTAGCACTGGTGGGGGTGTTTTTTTTCAAAAAAAATAAGGAAAAAAAAAAAAAAAATCAGTCTGGTTACCAAAGGCACGAAGCACAATTCCGAGTATCCGGGTACTATTGTAGGACGTGAAAACACCCGTTCCCATTCCGACCTCGATACGTGAAATCGTCTTATGCCATATGTACTGATTTAGTCCCTAGTTGAACAAGATCCACCCAGAGCCCCGAACTGGCGGCCAGTTTTTTCTATTTTTAAATGCATGCAGACCCCCTGCACCCCGCCAGTTTTTTCAATCGGCTTTCATAGGACCAGGTCTCCAAAGGAAAAATGGCAAAAGAAACATGTCAAAGTTATATAAATCATAAATGGATTGGAGGTTTTTTAACCAATTGGAAGCACATTTTTCATGTACAAGCGCATTTTCAACACTTTGAAAGCCGATTGAAAAAACTGGCCGCCAGTTCGAGGCTCTGTCATCCAGGGAAACTGGGGTCATTCTGACTTCGGCTTTGTCAGCCTTTTCGAACTATCGGCCCTAATGACTGGACAATGTGTTTTAGCTGTATTCTTCTCTCAATTTCACCTCTCACAACCTACCTACCACTACTCCTAGTTGTAGGCATATGTGTCCCCCGATGAGGAGGGAAGGAAAAAAAAA